CAGACTTGTTGTTGGTTTGACAATGATTTCTATTTTTAAACTAATAGGCAGGGAAGATACCAGCTCTCATTCTAAAGTTTTCTCGATTCCCTCCACCTGGGGGCTAAAAATCGTATCAGAACCAAAAATAATAAAACAAGTTGGGGGCTTTAACCTGTCACTTTAAAGTCCTCTAACTCTACACCCTTTAATGATTATTTCTCTATTTATTTGCACTAAATCATATGAATTACATTCTCATTCATATAACCTCATGTGATTCTTTCCAATTGTTGACTGCTTTAATTATTTATCATTTTAAGGAGAAAGATAAAGAAAACTACTCAGAATCCATGGAGAAAATAAAATCACACTTTAGTTTAAAAGTAGAAATCATTGTCAAACGAATAAGAAGTCTCGATTAAAACCAAAAGTAGTTCAAAACAAAAATAAAAACTTATCTTAAATCCTCCACCAAAGTCTTAAAGTTCTTTTGAATCTCTTCTCTTTTACAACACTCTCAAAATAAACTAAAAACAAAAAAGATAAAGTAAATTTTTGTGGTGCCTGAAAATCTCTCCAAACTCCTTATAACCCCTCTTCTTCTAACTCTTTTCAGAACATTCAAGCTCCCCTTTCAAATGTCTCAACTTCCTTCTTTTATAAATCTCCAAAAGGTGACTTGGAAACTCTTGAAAATGTGTCCACATTCGATGAATCCTCCAAAGGATGCCTCGTTTAACAAGTCTTTTAAACATATTTTCGTTGTTAGTGGTCATAACCACCCTCTTAAGCCAATAGGTGCCTCAAATACCTCTTCAAAATTTGGACAAATGAAGAAAACCGTCAAATAACTGCCTCTGGCGTTTAAGCGCGGCCTTCTTTGTTTTACCGACGCTTAAGCGCCAGATCTGGTGCTTAGTCGCCAAAACACTTAGCACAATTTTCACATTTTTGCTCCAAATTTGATCATTTTTCACTCTTTTAAGCATTTTTCACCTTTTACTTATATCTGCAAGAAAAATACACAAATACCTTCCATTAAAGCACAATATCTCAAAAATAGCTATAAATATGTGTCTAAAAGCTCTATATATTTTTGTTGTATCATTAGCCTTTAGGTGAGGGGACGAGGGGACTCTAGAGTGAGAGCAAGTATCTCTCATGCCTAACCAATCTTTAAGATTCTTAAACTATGAATTAGGCAATGTTCTTTATATTACTTGACCGAGGGTAAAGAATATAATTGCTCATATTTGTCACAATCTCTCTCACTACTTGTTTTACTTTTACACATGTCAATAATTTCATTGCATGAGGAAGGGTACTTTTGATATATTAAACCCCACTTTTTTATTTTCACTAAGTATTTTAGTTTAGGAGTAGAAGTAGTATTGTGTGATAATTGTAGGTTAAAATCAAAGCTAAACCTTTATCGACCTTCCAAGCTAAGGTGTGTTATTCTAGACTAGAACTTCTCTTGAAAGCCACTGTGAATAACCTCAATCTCCATAGGATCGATATTCGGGGCTTAATCAAAAAGCCCTATAATACTTGATAACGATACTTATAATTGCGTAGAATCCCTACTATTTGAAGTTATAATTGAAATCCTATTTTTCTTGGAATCAAGTTTTTGACGTCGTTGTCGGGGATTAAAATCTTCAAGTAGTGGTGTCAACTTCATAAATCCCTACATATAAAAAATATCGGGATCACAAGTCAAATAGTAATTTTCCATTGAATAAAAGTGATTAATCAAACATTTTCATGATACTCATAAATTTGAATTAGGAGTTCATCAAGTATGAGTATGTTCTGGTGGAAACATAATCGTTCAAAACATTTAGATATTTATATAAAATAACATAACAGTCGAACACCTTAAGAGTCAAATAATTTAAATTAATATCTAATAGCATAGAATTTTTTTCTTTCAATTTGTATACAAACAACTTTTTAAGTTTATAGAAAATTTCATTGAAGAGTACATCTTTTTTTAATTATTATTTTCAATGAATTTGTTTGTATATTAAGTGGTGGTATAATTTCTTTAAATTACAGGCTATTAATCTAAATATGTGCTTTGATTTGATGGCCATGACATCTCTTTTAACTCATGAACCAAAGGCCATGGCATCGCTTTTAACTCATGAGCCAAATGCCATTTCATGCTATATTTGACACAAATATTAAAAAATAATTAAAAATAATTTAACTTTTTGAACTTAACTGACTTGACTCAAATAAGTTATAATCAAAACTTTGAGCCAGAGTACTCTAACTCTAAATTCATTTTGAGCTTAAGGTGACTCTCTCAAAATTATTGTGCATATATAAGCACATTTACATACATAACAACCAATTCCTATTCATTTACATATCTAACTCCTAAACTTTATTTTTTACATTTATTACACCCATATCTTTCGTATCACAAGAAAAAATATCAACAATTTTAACTTTCAAAAACTGAAATACGCCTTTCAAATTTAGGTAATGTAGTATGTATGTAACAATTGAAATATAGCTGTTAAATATGCAAATACATAAGAATTGTGTGATATGTATGTAAATCTTCCATATATATAACTTATTGGCCCATTAAATTAGTATCTTATACTATAAAACAGATTTAAAGTTAAAAATTCATCATTTAATTTGATATTCACAGTAGTGATGGGCTAACAACATTCATTTAAAGCCATATTTTATAAAGAAGATATAATCATACATTCATTTAAATAAATACAAATAATTTTCTCAAAATAAAAATATACTTAATCAAACATGCCATTCCATCCTCTTACTTCCCCTTCCTTCATACATCAACACAAACCCTCAAATTTCATTTCCATAATGAAAATTAACCATATACTTTATTGTAAATCAAATCAATAATGGCCAAAACCAAACAAATGACCCAAATCCCAAACATAAAAACACTCTGACAAAAACCAAACGCAGAAATGCAGCATCTGTAAGCCTCAGACGCCCCGTCGGGGACTGAAACCCGGCGGTGGCGCTTGCGGCATCGGCGGCGGCGGTGGTGGCGCCATTACGGCCGCCGCCTCCCCTGTCTGATAATAAGGCAACACACTATAAACCGTCTGAAGAACCGAAAGCACGAGCAGGAAAATGGCAGCCGCAAGCGAAAGAAACGCCCATGGGCTCCTGAAATAAGTATGGATCAAATTAGCCCGCCACATGTTCCACCTCTTCTGGCAATAAGCATTAACCCTCTTCTGCACGGCTTCGAGGCTACTGTCAGGATCGAGCGTGACGTCCTTTGAGATCGAATTGAACAGGTTCGCCACGGCCTTATCGCTTCCTAACGCGTTCTGTATGATTCCTTTGGAATGAAGCAGGCTAACATCCTTGGCCGAGTCAATTATGTTGTCCATGAAGAAGACGTAGGAGGTGATTTCGCTGCCGGCGCCGACGTGGAGGCGTTCGAAGGCCATGAGATTGAGATAGGCGTATTGAGTGGCGTCATCGACGACGATAGCGGGGAGGCTGAGGACGCCGTGGTGGAAGCGGATGTCGAGGAGGCTGGTGGTGCGGCTCTTTCGGAAGCGGATGCCGGCTTCGTACAGCTCGATGGCGGAGCGGATGATGCCGGGGGAGGAGGAGTCGGAGGAGCGGAATCGTGGCGGGAGGTCGGAAGGGGTGGAAGGGCTTTGGAGGAGGCTGCGGCGGTGGAGGTCGAGAGGATGGAGGCCGAGACCGATGCCGGGGGTTGGAGCTGGGGATTCTGGAGAGCAGAGCTTCAGAACCAGTCGGTTTATTTGATCTGGGTTCTGGAAGATAAATGCACATTGGATTTGGAAAAAGAAAAAAATTAAAGGAATTTATTAGATACATACATAGCTTATAAGTAGTTTATTATTTACATGTCTAACATAGAAATTTTTTTATTTATCTGCGTAACATTTAAATATTTAAGATCACATTAAAAAAACACCACTTTTACTTGATTTTAAAAAGATCGAACACACCCTTTCCTGCATATGACTGTAATAACAAAATATTATAAATATAAACTTAACTTTAAAGTGATATATATATATATATATATACACACACACCACTGAAATCCTTAATGCGGCATTTCAAGTACATATATCTAATTCCCTTCATCCACCCAACCTGCTTCCACCTGGTCACTTTCCAGTTGGTCACTGACCAAAGCTCAGATTAGGTACCAACACTAAGACTAAATAACATGGACTACTCTCTTTAAAGAAAGAGTAATTTTGTATTAAAAATTTTTCATCTTTTCTTATTTTTATAAATAGAAGAACCTATAACATGTAAATTGATTTTCTTTTAGGAAAAAATATTACGTCCGGACATCCGCACATTTAGATTGCCAACAGCTGGGTCCCACGTCGCCCGCGCTGACGTGTATGGCGACGTGTCACTCAGTGTTTGGTCATCCGGACTCGCGGTATCCGGACATAAAATTTTCTCCTCTCATAGGCTCTCCACCACAAATGCAGAGAGGTCTCCCCCTTCCCCTCTTGTAAACTCAAAGTTCATGGAATAAAAGGGCCAACGAGCTGGGAACACTCATCTTCCCCATCCACGAGACAAACCTCTCTCTCTCTCGTTTTCCCTATGTTTTGATGCTCTGTCTCAGACATGATCTACATGACAAATCTAGCTTCAACATTTAAGTTTAATGCTTTACTATCACTAGAAAATTCTTAAAATTAGTATCAATACTATTACTAAATTAAAAATACAGTTAGTATTAAATTATTATAAGATATTTAAATTTTCGGATCATAACTTTATATTATATGAAAACTTTCATTAAGTCAAAATTCCATAGATTTTCCATGATCCAGAAACAAATACACAAACTTGCGCTTCGAGATCGTGCATACCGCGGGTTTGCCGGCCTCCACCGAAACCAACTTCTCGAGCGCCAGCAACGGCAGCTGGTTCTCCACAATAAGCATATCCCTCTTAATATAAGGCAGAGTATGCAGCATCCCATGGTTGCTAAATATGGGATCATCAGCAGCGTAATCCCCAAACTGGCCGACATTAAGCCGCAGAATCTCCAGCATAAAACACCCATCCACCACCATCAAGCGCAGAAATTCTTCATCTCCGCCACCCCCCTTCCACCTTTCCTCAAGCCCCTGATACGAGCTCTGCAGTCTCCCGACGATCTCCTCGATCCCCGCCACGAAGTCCTCCAATGGCTTCTTGGCTCGGCGCAGAAGGTGGAGGAGGGCGCGGTGCTTATGCTCCTCCATGCTAGCCAGTTCGGGGTCGGCGTGGTGGTAAGGGCCGAAGGAGACGATCTGAGGACGGTAGGCTTTGGGGTTTAGGTCTTTGATGCAGGAGGGGACGAGGTAGATGGAGTGTTTTCGCCATAGGTCGAGATCTTTGGATGGGTTGTTGGCTTCTTTTTGGATGGCGGTTATCCAGCTCCGGTCGACGGAGGTGCCGGTCGCCATTTTGGAGTCATGAGATGAGCAAATTGTTGAAATAGTGTATTGGGCTCTATGTATTTTACCAAGAATTTATATGGGATTTGGAACAGAAGCTTTAATTGAGTGTGGAGTGTGGAGTGTGGAGTGTGGAGCGAGGAGAGGTATTTCGCTATTGCTGGGGAATCGGTAGGGTTTTTTCAGGATAAATCACGAGGACGAAGCTTTGAGCTGAAGTATTGCAAATATTCTGAGGTGTCAGTTCTTTCCTGTCTTTTTTTTATTCTTTTTTTTTTTTGGGTTTGTGAGAGTAGCTTTAAGTGATAATTAAAATAAAAATTAATTATTGAAATATATTTTAAAATTGACTCTTAATTAAAGAGAAGTTTCATACCAATTTCTTCATAAATCTTGGACAATTCATCCAAAATGTTTATGATGACATTTTATAGAGAAATTTTCATGGTTTATGCAAACGCCACTAATTTCAGAGGAAAAGATGAAAAATCTACGATCAAAATACTTGAATTTGGTGCTTTATTTTTTACTTTATTGATGTTATTTTTAATTGAGGTCAAGATGGTCTAGCAAAAGCTATCAGTGTTACACTTATGAATCCATCATGAAAATCCTTGATTGTATTCTAAGACTAGTTAATTTAGGTAAGACAATCCCAATGTGTCATTTAACCAAACCAATTAATGATTATTGATTGCATCCAACAAGACAAAGTTGTTGAACTCAATCTTATCGGACAAGTTGCTCAATACTTGAATTAGAAAAATTGTAGGAACTAATTTCACTTAAATTTTGGATGAAGAGATAACCCGCATTAAATTTTGAATTTTAATGAATTAATCACAGTTAAGCTTGGTTGCATATTTGACATTAGATTAAAGCATATAACCATATGTCCAAACTACATGACTATTCAAATCGCAATATACCTAAACAATTATGATGGGCAGATATGGACACAGGGCACATACACTATGACACAAATATATAACCCTTCTATTAATCCCCCTAATGACCCATTGGCTACCCCAGAAGTTCTCTTTAACCTATGACAACCCCATTGAGTATGAAGCTAGTCCTAGGCCAATGAAGGAATCTATCTCTAACCACATTACCCTAAAAACCCTAAAAATCCCATTACATCAAAATCCAAACCAATGGGAGGGGTGGGTCACCAAAGTCAAACTTTGACCTCACCTGATTTTTCCTAACACCAACTAACCTTAAAATTTACATAATCCTTGAGCACATCAACTTAAACCTAAAATTAAAATCACTAAAAAGCACCAAAACCTAATTGGACCCAAGTTTAACTTGAATCAAATAATAAAATCAATTAATAAACAAATACTGCTATCAAAATAAAATCAAAATCAATTTAAAGTGTTAAAACGAAGGTCACTTAAAAATCAAAATTAAATTATGAAGGCCCACCAGGCCTAATTGTTTTGGGCTAACCCAATTGAAAAGGCCAAACTTAGGGTTAAGCTCATGAATCATCCCTTAAGAACCAACCCCATGGATCACCCACATGACCCTTGACACATGGCTCAACCCTTAGGGTGAACCTATGAGTCAAATGACCTACCATCACATTGCATAACTAAATATTAAATTAAATTATTTAAGTCTTGATGCAAACACAAAAAGACAAGAAGACACATTTAGCCAAGCCACTCAACACATGGCACTTAAGTCATCACTCCTTAGACCAGCCCATGGGGAGTCAAAACAGACCAATTCTGGTCTTAGCCACTGACCATACCCACAATTACACAGATATTTATGTTCCTTAATAAGACAAAAATTTGACCCAGATTATATTTAACGACTAGTGAGAATAAATGTAATATGATAAAAATTTAAAGAAATAGTTTTCTCACTAGGGGTTCTACGCAAGTATATGTATCATTTCAAGTAATATTGAGTTTTCTTTAAAACCCCAGTATAGATCCCACGAGGAAGCCAAAAATAAGAAAACAATGAAATGAAATATAGGAATTTTGACTTTAAGAAAAGTTTACTCAAGATTGCAGCAACTATCTAAAGATAAAAATTAAGTTTACTAAATTCTACAACATGCAAGTAAAAATAAATGTAATGATTAAACAATATATATAAAGAGACTTTCGAGACTTTCTCAGACTTTCTCATTGCCAATAATTCATAATCAGTGTAGGATTTCAAAATTGTTTAGAAACTTAAATGTGGTATTGTGACAAATAGGAGCTAACATATTCTTTACTTTTTTTGAAATGTGTAAAGAGCATTGATTAATCTAAAGTTGGTGTCAAAAAATATAGTAGTGTTGGGTTCTAGTCTCTCACTTCTAGATTACCCGCTATGCCCTCTCTATAGGACCTACCAGTGGCCCTTAATTCCATTCTCTAGACTAAATTGATAAGAGAATCTAGTCTGTCACTCTAAAAATAATAATTATAAGCTCATCAAATCTTACCTCCCTATCTATTTGCACCCCCTTAGGACGATCGCGACTGCTCTTTCCAAGGTAGAATGTGATTTTTACAAGTAAAGAAATCTTAGCCCTTTCGGGTCTATAAGTTCCTAAAAAGGTTTTAACAATACAAGTGACCAATTTGTAAAGTAAATAAAAGACCATGAAAAATATCATCACAATTTTTTGGAATAAAAGAAGTTCTAGACAAAATCAAAATCACATACTTAATTACTTCATATTGCATGAAGAAAGAAAGAAAACAACTCACGAAACATGGGGATAACAAAATAGAACAAATTTATAAAACTTCAATCCAAAGTACAAAACTTAAAGATAAAGATACAAATACTTATCTAGAATGTTCCTCCAAACACTTCTTTCAAGTTCTCTAGCTTCTCCAACTCCAACAGCTCTTACAAGACTCACAAACTCCAGAAATAATAAAGACTCACAAAGAAAACTTCTCCCACACTTAACACACTCACACACTATGAAACTCTATAGACCCGACCCCCTAGCATCTTGGAATTAATCCATATTTATAGAGCTTCGAAAATGGCCAAAGGTTGCTTTAGACATCTCTTCAAAATTCAGCCTCATTCAATGAATCTTCTAGAAAATAACCGTGGCACCTAGGCCCCCAATTGTCATGCCTCGGTGCCAACCAATTTCTGCATCTGGCTCCTAGGCGCTAGTTTGACTGCTTTGATATTTTTTTTCAATTTAACTCATTTTGCTTCTTTTTTGTGTGTTTTTGCTCATTTTTACTCTTAAACTCTTTTTCTTGCACCTACAACTAAAAACATAAAAATATGTTTCATTAAAGCATAATATCATGAGAAATTGAGCATAAAATGTGCATAAGAAATAGGTAATTTTATGATAGATCAATTCCCCAAAACTTAAATGTTACTTGTCCTCAAGTAATCGTTCTTACTATATAAAAAGTATAACTTATGGAAGTGAGTTTACTTGAATATTTCTATAGTTTTTGTTTTATAAATTCAATAGTGAAACTTTAGAAAGATTTTTAATAACATAAGTTAAAACTAGAATGTAAGAATATTTTGTAATCAAGTTTAAGGATCTGATTTCCTAATTATTTCAAGAATAATTGTAATTTGTCATATTAAAGATACTTAAAAAAATTACATGAAGAAGAATATCATAAGAACTTAACTAGTTCGGATGTAATACTTCATAAATAAGCTTAGAAATGTAATTAACTCTATTTCCTTAAGATGATTTAAGTGAATCCAATTTTTGATTTGGCATCTCCTTAAGCTTCTCCTCACATATATTTTCCTTTTTGCTTTTCTTTTCTTTTTACTCTTCTTTTCTTTTTCTTTCAGAATTATTTTCAATTCTTTTTATATTTTCATGTCATGTGAGGATTACTATATCTAGATAGTCTTTAATGATTTTGAACTTCACTATCCTCTTCTTAAAGTTAAAACCATTTCACATTTCCTTACTTGATAAATATATATTAGACTTAAGAAAGATTTTTCATAAAGTCTCAATTCTTTCTTTTCAAATAAAAATCCAAGATCTTTAACATTTCCAAAAATATAATTTCCTGTATTTTAAATAGTAAAAGCAAAATTTTGATACTCTTATATGAAATATCTTAAATCCAGAATTAATCTTATTATTAAAAACTTTTACTTAAGTTTACTATATTATTTATAAACTCAAAAATATAGCTATCTCAAGCTAACTCAACATTCCACAGGTTATATTAAAATAATTTTTGAAAATATATTTTACTTAGGACAAATATAGTTTAGTTTTAAAAATTTTCTTCCTTCCCCCAAACTTAAATTTTAAATTAGTTTAAGACAACTAAGTTTATAATAAGCATGAAGAAAGAGAATTTTAAAATTTTTAAGTAGGAGAACAGTACAGGTGATGCTGGGTGTTTTGTTCAGTGTAGCTTTTGTAAATATTTTTCAATATTGCAAAACACACACGACAACACTTATAATAAATATGTAATTCAATCCCAATAAAAATAACTTTAGTAAAAATAATTTTATCTTTTAAAGTCTTTAAACTGCCAACTTGTAATAATAACGAAGTATACGTATCACTCAAGTAAAAAATGGTTATAATGGAGTCCTAAATATCAATCTCATAAGTAAGTTTGAAATTATGATAATCTAAAATTATGATAATCTATATTATGATAATCTATATTGTAAAACACAAAATTTAAACTACAAAACTTAAGTATGAAATTTAGATCTAAAGTAATTGAGTGTATGCTAAATAAAATGCATTTAAAAGAACCAATTTAACTAAACTGATTGCTAAACTTCCAAAATAAACTTATAAAACTAAACAAAGTTTCTGTGATGAAGAGTTCAAATTTAAGAAAACATCATTCCCCTTTACCATGAGTATTTAGATTGTGAAGAATTTTTTTTTAAAAAAATATAAAATTTTATTATGCAAAATAGGAGCAATCATATTATTTACCCTATTTTAAATGCATAAAGAACATTGACTAATCCAGAGTTTGGTCCCTAATTCTATGGTTAGGTTGAGAGGATACTAGCTCTCACTTCAGAGCTCTCACTTTTCCCTCGCTTGGGGGCTAACAATCTTGCATTATTTTCCAATCAACTGAACCAAATTAAGGGTTTTAATCTATCACATTAAAATTTTCAACTCTGCATCCAAAAAGTATATCACCCTATTTATTTGCACTCAACCTCATGAATTACATTCTCACCCATGGAATTGAATGTGACTCTGACCATGTTGTAGAAATCATAGCCCTTTCAGATCATATGTTTTTCAACACATTTTAACTTTTCAATTAGCCAGATCGAAAAATAAATGAAGATCGGAGTACAAATCATCACAAATTATTTACATTTAAAATCGTATAAAACAAATAAATTCTTCACAAAATCATATTTTAGAGTAAGAAGAATGATAAAGAAGACTACTCAGAATTCATGAGAAGGAAACAACAAAACACAAATTTCATATATAAAAACAAGTTTACAAAACAAAGAAATAAAAAATACAACTTATCTCACACTCCTTCCCAAGCAAATCTCTAGAAGTTCACTTTGAGCACTTTCCCTCTTTAAAACCATTTTATTTCTTTTGATTATTTTATTTCCTAACTTCATATTTTGTTTTTTCTCCAACTATTTCATAAAGTAACTTAATTCCTTCTCGCTCTCTATATATTTAAACATCGAACAGTGAAATTGTAAATGTATAAATAAAGAGCTATTTCTCATGATTCACACATGATTATTACAAATAGAAACTCTTTCCTAAATGTAACTTAATCAAATAAATAAGTTAATTAAACTATGAATTGAAGATCACAAATTCCTAGCTTAGATAAACTAAAGAGTTATGATTATTTATACTTCTTGTAGTAAGGTTATGATCCTTATGCAAAGGATAATACAAACTTAATAAGAATATCTAATTTTTTTTTATAATTGAGTTACATCATAGAGAAATCACTAATCTATTTATACAAAGGAGACAATTTTTTATAGAAAAGTTGAGTTCAATGGTAATACTAGAGGAATTTATTATATTAGATGGGTTCACAATTAAGTCAAATAAATAAAAAAACTAAATAAAAATTATATTATAAGAAGCCTGAGTTGAGAAATTATAAGACTAATCCTTAAATGTGAGCACAAATGATCCCAGGGCAAAATCGTTTTGGTGTAGCCAAATTCCCCCAACGATGATTCCGTTCAAGGGAGCTAAGAGTTCCAAAGGTAGATGGTCAGGCGATACTTAACCAAAGCCACCTCTCTTATTTTATTTAAAGAATTTTTTTAAATGAAAAGCCAATAATGAATTCAGAGCTTAAATAAATTTCAAGGAATAGTTTTTTACATTGATTTGCTCATGATAAGAAGATCAATAACAAAAATTATAAACTTATCCTACAAACTAGAGTAAGCTATAAGTCTCATTAAAAGATGGTCAAAAATTTTTTTTCATTATCTTATGTTTTTGTAATTGTTTTGAAAAGATATAAGAGAATCCAGGAATTGAATGTATAGCTCTAAGACAGCCTGCAAAGTTGCCTTACTAATGTGCCAAGTTCCTATAACAAGTTTACCAGTTTATAAACTACTAAGAACTAGCAATTGAGTTCAAAAGATCGAGTTTAGAGGACCAAGTTAAAAAGGTCGAGCTTAGAATGTCAAGTTATAAAGAATAATTGCACATACAAGATGTTACAAAGATAAAATTTAATATTAAACCCACACCACAAGAAAATAAAAAAAGGATAAATTAATGAGCTTTTGAGACCTATATAGCTAACTTTTAATGTATAAAAAGCCTATATAAGTAAGGAAATTTTAATATATGAATGGAGACCAATTCTAAATTCTTGTTCAATACCCTTATTTATGTTATATGAAATAGAGATTTTTTTTAATCTCTTCTAGTTCTTTCCCTCTTTTGGCTTATGACTTTCCTAGAGGTGTGAGTCCATGAATAATTGAGGTTTTGGCACACACAATTCAATTAAGTGAACTCTTAATGCACCATACTTAGTGATGTTAAAAATATCTTTATTTGAGGGAGACTAATGATTGATTTATAGTTATCACATCAAGAAAACTTGTTAAGGCACGTGAGAGTAGATTTAATCTCACATTAAGTTGTTGAAAAATATTCTAATATAAAAATTCCAAATGATTAGTTCTGACCTATAAGCATAAGATTTTGAATTGAAAATGATTTCACAACTAATATATTCAACTAAACTCTAATATTATTTTGGTTTACTGCCTAATTAATATTATCTGACCATTTCTAAATCATATGTTTCAAAATTAATTCCATTCATAAGAAATGATTTAAATGAGTTAAATAGTTACCATGGTAACTGTAGAGAGTTCAAATTAAAAATTTTGGCTTCTTAATTTAAATATTAGTGAGAAGACACTTAATCAAAGGAGCAATGGTTGATAGTCATGTTATCATGTTAAAGTTGAGTTCTATTATCCTAATCTTATTATCTTGATCTAAATGGGGACAAAATTCATTTAAATAGATACAATTTCAATCATTTAAACAATCCCGTCAATTCATTTTTATATTGACAGAACTCAATTGTGACCCATTATTGTTTTTTTATGAGCAAAATATACCTTATTAGTTCATTTGATGTAATTAAAGACAATGACTTTATTTCTAGATCTAATATTCCACAACACAAGAGATTGAAGGAAGGCTTGCCATGATTGGTGGTGATAATTACCAAATTCACTTTAAATTTGAAAAATTTTAATTCAATAAAACAAATATTTTTGTAATGTTTAATTAATATGTTTATTTCTTATTATTTTTCACCATTATATTTTATCATTTTATTGTATTAATATTGGTGAGTAAAGCTCATGGAGTTACAATCAAAAGTAATGTTGGGTGCTTGGAAATTCTCAATGATAGAAAAATCTTAAGCCTTAGCTCAGCATAATTTTTCAGCACACACACATATAGAAATATAAGAGTCAATTATATTCTTTACATTGATAAACTCTAGAAAGGAAAAAAATCATTGGGGTTGACTTAATCAAAGTAATTTACTACAAATTTAAAGTATATATGTTCGCCCTTTTCATTATTTTGAGAAGCTAAAATTACGAAAAATTGATAATCACAATTAAAAGGTTGGTGTTTGGCTACAACAATCATATATTGGTTATAACAATTGTAGTTGATGGCCAAAACAGTCATAGTTGGCAACAAAAGTCATAGTTAGTGGTTACAACAACCATAGTTGGCTATGAAAGCTATAGTTAATGGCTAGAACAACTATAGTTTGTGGTTACAACAATTATAGCTGGCTATAAAATTCATTATTGACTACAAAGTCATATTTGGTGGCTACAACTATCATAGTTGGTAGCAACAATCGCTGGTAGTGAATCATAATGATAACAATCATAATTGGCTTACAAAAATTGTAGTTGCTGCCTACAAAAATCATAATTGGCTGCAATAATTATTGGTGGTCGACAATGACTGGTAGTAAACAACTGTTGGTGGTCATTCACTTGCACTTCTCTTCACGAGTTATGCTTTATTTGTCAGCTCTATCTTCTCTTTTTCTTCCCCTAGTCTCTACCCCCAATTTTATGTGAAGAATATGGGCCTATTTATAGTTTATGATAGGGACATTTTGATAAATTTAATCAAAATCTCAAAACACTCCATCAAATAGTCCATATTGATTTCCTTGATCACATGTTATTTTTTTAGTATTTAAGTGTCTTAATAATATCTGAATTAAATGATCATAAGCTTGTTGGATTCCTCTTTTTGAGATGCTCGATCTGAGTTTAAGCATGTCAAATTTAACAATTATTTGATTTTCTAATTAATGCACCAAGTCTTTAAATACACCTCAAGAGTTTGATCTAAGCTTAGTTTGACTCAGACTAGGTTCACTTTCAGTATCATTAGGCTTACATTGACGAGATGTTCAATTTAACTATAAATTATTGAAATCAGAGCTTAGATGATCTGAATTTTGAATATAAAAGATCTCATATTCACTATGCACCGAGATTCACACATGATTATATAAATTTATTGGTAACCTATCAAGTACAATAGAATAAGAAGGTAATATAAATGAAGGGTATAAATTATAAGAGAAGTGATCCCTACTTCGAAATAAAAAAATTCTTAGGAATCCACCTACATACCTCATATGTTTTTACATTTCCAACATCTTAAATTTAATACTTACACATACAACATTTAAGTGTCATAATTACTTCAAAACTTAAGAATGAAAATATGTATCTTCGTTTTAAAATACTAGTTTTAGTAGTGTTGCTAATGTAATACGAAAGAATTGAGTGCAAAGTTAATAAAGACTCAAACTTAGGAATTGGATTTGCAAATTTATAAGAACCATGTATTTTGCATTCCAATTCCCCCCAAAAAATGGACATAAAATAGACACAAAAGAGGGACTTATCCCCCTTGCAAGAATGAGGAGCTACCATTACTAAACAGTTCATAAAATATATAGTTCTGAAAATCTAGCCTTTAAGCCCAAGCATAAGCAAGCCCAACAGAACAAGCACAGTGAGCCGTTAATAGCCACTACGATGGAGAAGTGTTGGGAGCCATACGTTGAAATGATAGGCTCATCCGAAATCTCATCCGTTTTCTTCTAAGCGCAGCGACTCTATCACCTCCTCTCCCTCCATGGCGCACTCCCATCACCACAATCTCTCACTCCACTCCCTTTCTTCCCTTTCTCATCTCTGAGGTCACTTCTCTCCCGCTTTTCTCGTCCTTACCTCCCTCTCCCTCCGCCGGCCCTTCATGGCTTCGGCTACTCTCCTGGTAGCCAATGCCTCTCTCCAGGTCTCTCTCTCTCTCCTTCTCCTTCTCTCTTGCGCTTATGGCTCATAAAATCTATGTCCGTTATAATTGAACAGGGGAACAGCAAGGGGTTCTCGGAGTTCTCTGGGTTAAGGGGCTCCGCGGCTCTGCCTTTCTCCAAGAGGGCTTTTTCATCTGAAGATTTCGTCTCTGTCATTGCCTTCAAGACTGCTGCTGTGAGAATCGCTCGCTTCTTATTTACTATCTTTGTTGAATTTTATATGGATATATTTTGATAGAATTTTTAATCACAAAATAACTATTTTGATGAAATATTTTCTCTTTAACTATAAAAATCCCATCTTTTTATTTAATGATTGGGAAGTATGAAACAATAGGTAGTTAGCGGTTTGCATCTGTTATATTAAGCCTATAAATACTATAAATTAGCTTGTTCTCTATATATTTTATATTTTTTTCTCTCATCTTTCTTTTGGGGTTGTTGATAGCCTTGAATTATGGGTTGTTATTCTTTATAATTATTTTTTTTGTTCTCTTCATAGAACAAATTTATATCAAATGGCGCTTTTGCTAAGAACAAGAATGTCTATTGATACAAAAATGTTGTATATGAAAATTGGAAGAATAATAATGTAAATGGGCTAATTCATTTTGTTGGAATTTATATATCAAATGCTTCAATTTTTGGGATTATTGCATAAATAATCTTCGAAAGCATTTTTATTTATAAAATCTAGCATTCATGTGAAATTTTTGAACAACCGAATTGATGTATTTACATGTCACGATCAAATAATTGAGAATTTGATAAAAAAATGAAATATATGACATGAATTTTGATATTTGAGCGTGAAAATGAAAAAAAATGAACGAAAGAGGGTTCTAGATTTACAAATAACAATGTTTTCAGGTGCTAATATGCAATTGCCCCTATTTATATTCACATACATATAATGTTTTATTGCCTAAGCAAATTCATAAAAACGTTGTATTTCTTTTTTAAAAGTAAAATTTTAATGATATTTTTTATGCAATTTAAACATTTGGAATTTGAATGTTATACAAACAAATATTAATGTTTAAATTTTATATTTAAGAACAAGAGAATTATGTTTTATGCATATCTAATTGTGTTTTTATAAACTTATAAAGGCATAAAGTAATTCATTAACTATTTATTAATTAGAAATGTAATTAATTTTTTTGTTATAATTATTGTCACATTAATCCATAGTATTTTGCAATAATTTTGTAAATTTCTAATTGAAAATTTTTATAATCATTTTTTTTATAAAATCTATTAGAAAATGTTTTACAAATTCATGAAAATTTTTATATTTTAAAAATAAGTTCTTTGTATCAAATTATTAAAGTAAATGGCTTGTTTGATTTTTTAGGGGTTTGGTCTTTTGATTAAATACATAGAATTGTGTGGTATGTATTTAATTACCCCTAATTTTTAAACAACACATTCCTTAGTAGTTAAAAGTGAAAAGATAAGCAAACAAGCGTTGAAGAAAAATATATCTCCGAATTTGAGTCAAATATTTTATGATAAATTTTACTTTAAAAATCTTAGAAAAAATATATAAATTACTTTAGGCAGGGGAGAGAGCCGCTGGGGTTCAGAATAAGGGAGTGGTGGAAGCGAAGCTGAAGGTGGCCATCAATGGCTTCGGCCGCATCGGGCGCAACTTCCTTCGATGCTGGCACGGGAGGAAGGATTCCCCACTAGATATAGTGGCCATCAACGATACCGGCGGCGTGAAGCAAGCCTCTCACCTCCTCAAGTACGACTCCACCCTCGGCATCTTCGACGCCGACGTTAAGCCTGCCGGAGATCGTGCAATATCCGTCGATGGAAAGATAATCCAGGTCGTCACGGATCGCAACCCTGCTAATCTGCCATGGAAGAATCTCGGCATCGATCTGGTTATCGAGGGCACCGGCGTGTTTGTCGACCGGGAGGGGGCAGGTAAGCACATCCAGGCTGGTGCGAAGAAGGTTCTGATCACTGCTCCTGGAAAGGGTGATATCCCCACTTATGTTGTCGGAGTCAATGCCGATGCTTACAACCCCGATGAGCCAATCATCAGCAACGCCTCCTGCACGACTAATTGCCTCGCTCCTTTCGTCAAGGTCCTTGATCAGAAGTTCGGTATGGCTTAATTCATGTCTTTACTGTATATTAGAGCGATACATTTTACAATGTGTCGTTATCTCTAGCTAGAACTATCCCATTAGGGGGCATTTATATCTTTAACCGTGCTGAAGCTTACCGTTCTCATATTTTAACACTAGTTTAATCGCTTCCCTTAGTTCTACTGAGCTATTCCTTTTATAGCTTCATCACTTCTATCTTATTTTTTATTTTTTTTATCCCCTTATTGTTAGTTTTTGTTTCTTATCATATTATCAAGAAATAAACAGGACTTTCTGTAGACTAGAGAGTATTTTGACTACGGGAAATTCACATATGTTTTTTTTGTTTCCTTTCTCTTGAGAAGTGATTAAAACTAATTTGACAAAATCTAATAACTCTTGCAGTGGCACAAAATTCTCAGTTATTATGATGATTGCTAAGTAAAAATTATTATGTAGAACTCTGGCATCATCTTTTGAAAGTCAATATTAGAATCATTTCGAAAAAAAAAAAAATGAGTTATTTGTGTTAGATGACAAGTTGATTGCTTGTTCAGTCAAATAATTGAACAAGATATTTTCTCTCAAAAATTGGTTCTCTAGTGTTTTACTTTGATGAATCCACTTATTATAATCAAATATTTTTTGCAGCTGTTGTATATGCTTTTGTATTTACATTTGCATTGATTCTTAATGATGCATCTTCTACTCAAGTTTCAGTTGGATTCTTGAAATACCTTGGTTGCATCCTCCAAATTATAAGACATCAATCCTCTTATATTAGGCATTATAAACGAAATTAGAGGTAATGGCAGTGGGATATTGTACAATGCTGCTATCACTAGAACATTTCCTATTGTCTTATGTTGGATCTTTTTCTCAGTCACTATTTTTTTTTTGTTATTTGATTATTTCTTTTTGAGAAAGCCTATGACTTCTAACTGTCACCTCTAAGATTTAAGATCAAAGTTGTTGAAGGATATTAGACTCGACAGCTAGCAATCACCCATTTTGAGATTGAATTTTGATATGCTATTTTAGGTCGACTAAGGCTTTGTAATGTCTTAGTCCCTTAGGGGTAATTTTTCATTCTTTATTGCCATTGTTGCCTTGTTATCTCGCTGCTATTTGATCCCAAAATGTGATATATCCTACATTGCTCACCTGCACTTTTGAAGCTTCCACTTGACTGAATTTTCAAAATTCTATTGCATCTTTAGAATTCCGAGCAGTATAATTAACTGTTTCTTCATTATTCTAATGTTTGGCATCTTGAATATGATACCATTTTTGCTTCCACATGTTATCGCTTTAGCATCTTTGGTCAACCTTCCAAATATCAGTACTAAAGGCTGAGATGTAACCTTTTTAGCCTGGTTGCCTAAATGAGATCAAGTTTCTTTTAAAGCTAAGAATATGTTGCACATCGTGAAGCTTCCACATTGTCTCATTATGCATCTTGATTTTCACATCATCAACTACCACAATATTTAAGAGTTCAACATCAGTGAGCTGGACCTTCTCTTAATCTTTTATAGAATAGTTAGATATAAATTTTTTATGTGAAGTTGAATGAAAAGACATACTTCAATCCAAAATCTTGGATTTAAGTGCATCAATCATATGGCTTTAAATTGCTTCTTTTCTTTTTTTCCTTTAGATTCACTTCGGCGTTATTTGGTAACATCCCTTGGGGTCTATTGCTAAATGTCTCAATTAATTTTCAATAATTCTTATGCCTGCAACTTGACATTGCAATTGATTTCTCATTTGTAAGACCAATTCTTCCAATGATAATTTATTTTCTTCAAATTGAGATCTAGATGTGAATCCAGATGGGTATGTCGGTTTCAAGTTTGTAAAATTATTTATCTGATTATTCAAATTGCCTAAGAAATTTTGTTGGTTGTTATCCTATTGATGATTTCCTACATTTAGTTATTCCACTTAAAGTTCGGGTTATTTTTCCAACTAGGATTGTAGGTGTTCTTACAGGGCTTATTGGGTCTATTATTTATGACATTCATTGACTTCACAATATTACACTAAGATTAACTAGTTTTCCATGTGTATTCTCATTGATTATTAGTGATTTTGGTGTTGAATTCAAGCTTAAGTTGTCTAATTTCTTAGATATTGCAGCTACCAATGTAGCCAAAATATATAAAGCATTTTGTTCATGAATGTTGTTTATATTTCTAGTGTTTATTCTCTCAAAAGGTCATTGACAGTTCTTAGTAACAATTTTTTCAATAAGTGCATAGGCCTCCTCAAATGGTTTTCACATTGAAATTTCTTCTGTTGTAGCATCTATTATAGACCTTAATGATTTTACCAACTCATTATAAAAATTTTTATAATCAACCAATTAAGTAGGATATAGTGTGGGCATTTCCAAGCAGATTTTTAAATCTCCTTCAAGCTTCATATATCTCTCATTATCGTTTAGGATGAAGGATGTTATGTCATTCATAAGCTTGATTGTTTGGAAGGAGAATTTTTTAGCAATTAACTTTTGTCCCAAATTGTTCCAAGTTATGATAGACTCAGGTGCTTAAGAATTGAGTCATATCTTAGTCTTATTTCTAAGTGAAAAAGGGAACAACCTAAGTCTACTATCATCATCTAAGACACTGTTATATCTAAATATTGCACACAATTCTAAAATGCTGGCTATTTGTATGTTTTGATTTTCATAAATGAACCTTCAAATTGAGTATTTTGAACCATTAGAATTATAACTTGTTTTGTTTCAAAAGTATTAGCTTAAATGATAGAGTTATTGATACTCTAATAAATTTCATCTACCATAGGGTAGGTAAAATCCTTTAAATGATCTAAACTAAACTTTTTATTCCTAAGGATTCACCATTTTTTCTAAATTCCTTTTTAGTATTGTAACTTTTCAAAAAATTTTCAGTAGTTTTCTCTATTTTAGAGTTAAATTACACTAGTTCAACAAATTTAATTATACACATGTCACTCAAGGCTAACTAGCACCCTAAGTTAACAATTAACAAAACATAACTCGTTAAAAAACACAAGATAACACAATTTTCACACAACAAATAACACACTTTCTATTTTTTTTTTCTTAAAATAAATTGAAGCCGATTTAAATGAGAAAAACAAAATAAAAAAAAAGTTATGAAATTAGTTAAAATATAAACAACAAATAACACTATTGTTTTGAACCTAAACTTCAAATTCTTATCTTGTATTTATTCTAAATAAACATATTAACATCGTTTTTCTGACGACGGTGCCAAAAATTTTATATGCGATGTGATGAAGTTACCTTATAAGTATACATGTCGATTAAATAGCATTCAGATTTTGAGTATGAATTATCGATCCCAAGAGAAACTTTTGTTACTTTTTAAACTAGTTTAATCACTAGTCTGAAACTTTCAGTTTATTTCAAAACTGTCGATGGTTTTGAAAAGTTTTCTAAAGGTCTTATAATGTGAAAGCAAAAAACTAAATATTTTTGCTTTGACTAGATTGAGAGTAGATGTTTTTGATCCGTACAGGAGAGTAGATGCTTTTGATTCGACTTATGTTAAGAAAGGCAAGGGTGGCCCTAGAAAGACTTAGGCTTTTTGTATAAAAATGACCTTAATTTATTAGAATTAAATGAAAGTGTGGCATTCAATAGGATGCAATGGAGAAAAAGGATTTATGTAGTTGACCCCGTTTAGTGGGATAAAGACTTGTTGTTTTTGTTGTTGTAGATTGAAAAAAAATTTCTTTGAGTTGGATTATGTGAAAACTTTTTGTTCATCCACTAAATTCTTCTAATTAATGTTGACAACCACTGACAATTATTTCTTACTCTCTTTCCAAACATAAAAGCATTGGAGTATATGTCATGATTAAGTCCTTTTAATCCTATAAAGACTCCCATGATTTTCTCATAACTCCTATGTGATTGCGATCTCCTAATGGTAACATTTCTTTTCTATTAAGAAATTATGGGCTAACTCAATTGCTCTTTTTAGTCTTCTTCTGATAGTCCTAGATCACAAGTTATTTTAAATATTTTTTAGTGCCAACAAGAAAGTATATTAAATATTAAATGTTAACACATCAACATGACACAATTTTTCCAAGTTTTCATGTGAACTAAAGAAAAACTTCAAAATACCAAGTCAAAGAAGCATGAAAATTTATTTCTTAAGCATTTATGGAGAAAATATAGGAGAATTCATTGATAGAAAGACAAAATTTACAAAAGTAAAGGAAAGAGAAACCCAGATTGTAACCTTTTTCGCTCAAGCCAACTCTCTTACAATACGCTCCCCCCATTAAATTCCTCTTAATTCTCTTAACACAATATAAAGTCACACTCACCTACACTCTAAGTCATTTTCAGGCTTCCAAAAGGCTTCTTTGTCACTATAATTTGTTTGATTTTATCTCTCAAGTTATCCAAACTGTCATTTGATTTTCGTAACCACTCTATGTTGGTGAGCAACGCCGAGGTGCTAATGAGGTAGGGTCGTGGCTCTAATGTTGGGACTAGCATTGCTGGAGGCTGGAGTGCTAGTTTCTGGCGCCATAGTATCGTGCTCTCGGGTTCTTGGCTAGAAACTCCTCACCCACACTCTAAGTCCATTCTTAGCTCAATTTCTTCCAAGTGCTAGATTAGTTCTTGTATACCACGCATATACAAAAAAAATAAACAAAGAGTATAGAACTAGCACAAAAGGTATAATAAAAGCACCATACATAACATCACATTTTACATGTATGAACGGGTCATTCAAGTTAGTTGGGTTGTATTGATAAAAAAAAGGCATGATTTATATAATAAATGAGTTAAACGAGTTACTGCATGTTTGGGTCAAATATTTTGACCTATGTAATAAACTAGTTGAATTTAAGTTGGGTCAACATAAAATTAAAGTTGAATCCAACCCATCAGGTGAATTTGCACACCTAATGATAGGTATAAAGCATTAGATGTAAATAAGATCTTGCGTTTGACAGCCACTAGTTGTAAAAAATCAAAAT